GACCAAAGCAAAAGGATGAACATCTTTTCTGTAGTTGGCATGAACTCCTGTTCACTTCTGACTGATAAGCAGTGTAACAGACTGTGAAAGGGAACACAGAAACTGAATTTGCATGACTTTTTGTAATTCGTTTTTGTCCCTTCATTACATGCTTGTGGGTAGTTGCTATAAAGGCCTTTATGAGTGCTGACACCTAGTGTTCTACTATTAGTAATTTCTTGATTTTTTTTTGTTTGTTTTATTTTATTGCTTAAATTTGGTAAAGAGTTTAGCTACACTCTTGCAAAAGTAATTTAAACAAGTCTGTAGAGGGTGGACGGTGAATGAACCACTACAGGCAGAAGTGGTTCCACCATCTGTTTTACTGACCTGCCAAAATCTTGTGCATGGTACAAGTTAATGTCCAAGGTGATTTAAATGAGATGATTCTCTGAGGTTCAAGATGTTCATGATGAGGTTTCCATTTCTCTACCCTGCAAACCACGCATAAGAAAGATGGAAGAAAATGCTAAAATGTCCCAAACTGCTGTGGGAATGGCAGAGCTAAGGCACATTTTTCTGTCTCCCTTCTTCAAAAGGAAAGCAATGCATTTAGGGTAAGTAAAAAAGCAAGAGACACAGACTGTCACACACTAACTACAAACATGTAACAAAGAAACGTGTTCCCACCCTTTAATGGAGGAGGTCAAGGATAGATATAGATGTGAAAGCAGATCAATTTTAACCTGTCCATGGGAGAACCTTGTAGGGATAACGACATAAGGGGCAAACAGATGCCTGCTGTTGTTAAAATGGGATATGCTGTGATGCAGGCAGATCAGAGGCTCCATTTTGACTGGGACACATTCGCAGTAAAATGGGACATGACAGAATATATAGTGTTGTGGTTAGTAGTAGCATAAAGATGAAAATGACTGTAGTTTTCTCTGTCTTTTGGTCTTCTGGCAAATAGACTGCTTAGCATCTTGGTGTGAGGAAAGGAAAGAAGGATGTGCTTGAAAGGGATCTCATCCTGCTTCTGGGAAAGCACGATTAGATATGCTATGATGAACCCTTGTCACCAATACCAAATGTGGCAGTATAAAAATCTGAGCTGGTGCTGAAAGGAAGATACAATGCTTTTAAAAACAAACAGGAATTCAGCATTATTAATTATTAAACCAATTACCATCATTAATTTACATTGAGTTTCAGCAAAGAAGAGGGAGCATCTGTTTGTTTGCTCTGTCATTAAAGTCAAAAGTCTGCAGCCAAGACCTTTTCTCCTTCATAAAGCTGGCAATGTTACCTCATCTAAAGCTGTAAGAGCTTAGTAGTGTCTCATGTACTGATGTACAAATGTATGTTGGCATTTTGCACAGCAAACAGAAAGCTTTCTATCCAATTTTTTAATGGGACCTCATTCCCTTTCACTTAATGTCATTGGGCTTTTGCCAATAAATTGGGAAAAACAGTTGTGGCTGGCAGTGCTGCTGGTCTGTGCGTTATTGCTGCCATCTACTGCTGTAGTGATTTAGTGTTTTAGTGATCCCATCTGCTGTGATTTCACACCTGTGGTTTCTAGTTAGCCAACATAACTCAGCCTCTAGTTTTCATTCATCTGTGTGAACTGAGTGATGTTGTCATGTCATTTAAAAGAACCTTAGCTTTTCTTCAAGTATTGAAGTTGAGAAATACATGCAGAATAAGAACAGTTAGCTGTAGTAACTCAGCCAGAAGTCTTTTACCAGGCAACAATGAGATGCCTCTGTTGATCAGAGTTAAAAATCTGATGCAATTCTGTGAAAACTTCAGTGTAATTAAATTCTGAGATATTGAGGAGATTGAAACAAAGCTAAAATAAGCTCCTTTGCTTAAAAGGAGTATGGATGTATGTAAGCCCTCCAAAAAGATCTCAGGAACCATGTGTCTTTGTCATTTGTTCTGCAAAATAGCAGGAGAGAAACATTACTGACTTTTTAAATTCTCGATCCAAATAATTTCTGAGAACAAAACACTTATTTCAGCCACCTGTGCTTAAGTCCATTGTGATGCACCACTGAACTTCACAACACTGCTGCAGAATGTGAAGAACAACCATATGTTCAATTTATGCTTCAGTGGCTTTCATTTTTGCTGTGGATCAAAATTTCAATGGCTTGAATTTTATATTCTGAGGACTATAAATGGAAAAGTTACAATGCTTCTGAATGTAAGAGAATAAAAGGTAAAACACTATGACTTTCAGATCTGGTCTAAGTGGTTGGACTATATTTGCTTAAATTTCCTAGGTTCCACTTGTTAGATGTAACAGGAGGTGCTTTAATAGCAAATAACCAGTGCAAGGGTGTCATTTTGTAAGTGTAGCAATTGTTGAGGTTATCAAATGGACTTTTTTATTCATTCATAGAACCATAGAGTCATTAAGGTTGGAAGGGACCTCTAGATATCATCTAGTCCAACTACCCTGCACATGCAGGGCCAACCTATTCCTTTCCCTTCATCAATTTTGAAGAACCAAATGAAGCAGAATATTTGGGGTTGGTTAGAAACAGCATTTGTATGAAGCACATCAACCTTGTAAATTCCTGTTTTTTTTTTTTACTCCTCTGTAATTTATAATAGGTATGTTTATGTACCAGGTATTGATTATTAATATATGACAGGTTTTCTTTTTTGTGTGTGTGGAAAAAAGAAATGAGAGCAGTATACATACTGGCCGTTAGATGTCAGAAGGATGTTAACCATGGCTACTGCTCACAGCAGGTTTTGTGAAGCATTTATTCAGCATATTGATTTTTGTGATCCCGGTCTTGTGTTTCTGAAAATTCTTTCCTAGAGTAAAGTTGTAGTCCATAGTGACTATGGAATAACATCAAGGGCTAGTACTTTAATTATCTTTGATTCCTACATTAAAAAAAAAAAAAAAAAAGTTGCAGGAAATGGAATGCATAGCTTCCAATGCCATCTGGAGCTGCTTGTCCTATCTACTATGTTTTATATGTGATGCCAGGCCCGTACATGCTCTTCTGAACTCAGGAAGCTTTTTGTGTTATCAGTTTCCCACAGGGGTTGCAAATGACAATCTGGTAACAATGTGTTTCATACTGCTTTTTTGTGTTTTTCCTAACTTACAGTAAATTTTCTTCTGCTATCATTGTTTTCCATTGGGTGTTCACTTTTCGTTCAGTCTAATTAGAGGTAAACTTAGCTTAGAGCATATTAGGACATTTAATGTATACTTAGCTGATCCACAGGTATT